CAGTGTGTCTTGTGTTGCATTTTGATTACAAGGCTTTGCCAATCCTCAGAGAGAAATTTTGTGACAAATGATAGGCAGGTAAGGGAAAGCACAGCAAGATGTGTTCCACCAATCTCCTTTGGCATACTCTTTCTCTGGATCAAACCCATAGTTTGTATGTTCAGTCCTAAAACTGCAACCTGAAGCACAATTAGTAGGATTAGGAAGCAAGTTCCATTTAACTCATTGATTTACTCTCAAGAAAACATGCTTAAAATCAGGCTATAAATACCCTGTTGTTCATTTCTGTGTTAGGCCTGCACAGGGATAATTTCAGTCATTTGAATTTCCCTTAGGTTATTTGATCTCTTCCTAAAAAAAAAAAGTTAGATGAGCTGCTCACTAAACCTGTTAGCTCCTGTAGTGGGCAGGAATAGAAACTGAATTCTCATCTCAAATCTGTTGTTTTGCAGCTATCTTCAGCACAGGTGGCTTCCCATGTGCTTGGTAAACATTTAATTGTACTGAGCACAAAGATCTGAAATATGCTTCTGAAGTATTTCTAATGGAAGTATCACTCATAAAATTAATCCTAATTGTTTGAAGATGAGCTTGAGTTATTCAAAACTACTCAGCCAAATGTACCCTACAGAGCACTGTATATTGGAAGAGATCATAACAACAAAAATAGCCATGCTAGGAATGTTCAAAATATAACGATAATATACTAAACAAGTAGGCATCTCATGTATGCTACATATTAAATAAATTATATACTGAACAAGTGGACATCTCATTTTCCTTTCCCCCACAATTTCCTCTTTTCTTTCCCTGAAAGCCCCAACAGCCTCCATATTTTCCCTGCCTCCTTCTCTCCTTCCTACCCACCAACCAGCATATCTTTATCTGCCCCTCTGTCTCCAGTTTTCCCTCTTTCCAAAAACTGGCAATCTTTATCCAGGAAAACTGTGGCCCAGTTGCAAGGTGCTGGTCACAGGGATTTGTTCATGGGGGACCTCATTTCCCTTTGTATCACCTTCTGCACACTATTTCCTCTTTCTCGCCTAGTAACCCCCATATCCTCATCCTTCTCTGCTTCCCATCCATACACCAACCAAACTTTTACCTCTCCCCTCATCTCGACTATATTTATTATTTATTTACTTCATTCATAACCCCTTTCTCTGTGAGGTTAGTTCAGCTAAGAATGTGTAACTGGCCCAAGGGCACTTGGAGCGTTTCCAGGGCAGAATGTGTATTCAAGGTACTAGCTGAAACGTCCAACTATTAGACCACACTGGCTTTCATGGGGTGGCTGCTGTTGAACACTAGCAAGCATCCAGATGTAGGTGAGTCCTGCAAGTCATATGCTGTCAAGTTGCCTGGTGGTTCCTGCCAGGCCTGGCCCCAATGAGTCCCTCTGCTTTTTACTTACAGAAACCAAGCCTGTTGTTATTTAGCAACAGCCACTAAAAGCATCTGTTTCTTAAAGCTACAGGTGCTCCTTTTATCATTTGGGTTTTTTAAAACTCCCCCTATTTATTTATTTATCTGTTCATTTGTTTGTTTATTAGATTTCAGGTGTTTTCTGCAAACCTGATGCAGAAACCAGGTTTCTAAAAAGATCTGTCTTGTCCTTTATAGGTCCAACCTCTAAACTCAAGTATCCTCAGATCTGGCGAATTTGGCTATTAAAATACAGATTACCTAGTGAATTTATGAAGGTCATCTACTCAATGGAGATCAACCCATAAACAGAAAACAGAAAACCCACATGCAGAATATCCCCCTCAAAAGGGTTTCTGTGCTGGATTTTTGAATCTGTATTGGATCTTTAACCACCACATTTATTAACATTGTTAAGAGATAAAATACAGAAACCATTTTAACTGGGAATGTCTGACTAGACTGGGGAGGCAAGGGTTTATTTATTTACAGTAACAAAGGATTTCCAAAAAAAGGATTCAAGTTCAATTCACTGTTCCACCATTTGGATACCTTGGACGAGTCTCTCTCTCTCTCTCTCTCTCTCTCTCTCTCTTTCATCTTAAGTATCCAACAGGGATGTTGTGAGGATAAAATGGAGAAGAGAACATATGCCCATCCTAAGCTATACAGGGAAAGAACAGGATAAAAATATGGTAGATTACAATGTCTTAATTTATACTAAAGACTGGTATGCAGGAATCCAAATATTTAAGGTCTTCAGTTCACACTTTTGCACACTTGCCTCTTAAGGGGAAGTGGAAGCACCAGCAGCTAGTGACTCAGCATTTCTAGGTTTATACATAGATTGCTTCATAGGCTGCTGAGTTGGTTCACAGAAAAATTTCAAAAACCTTTGCCTTTTATATTGACTATCCAGCCTGGTTTGGTGACCCATGAAACTTGCCATTTTTTTTTTTGTAGGGGGATCAGGTTGCCGGCTTTCATTACCTGTGCTTTGCTCCTGGTGCCCACGGCTGCTTGAATGAGCATCAAGAGCCAAAAAAGGAGGGGGAAATGGCATCACACAACTCCATTTCTGATCAAAAGCCCATGTACACCAGTTTCTATCTTCCTCCTAGGCTCCTGCCAATTGCCAGTTTTAATTTAGATTGGCTAACGTGCATTAAACCTGTTCTTCCAACACTCTCCACTTCATCCTTCTCTCTCTTGAGCTAATCCAGACAGACTCATACAAAAGAGACACAAATATGCACTCACCACTTTAGCCCCTCTCATGCCTTTTCCCAAGAGTCTGGGACTTTACAGTTTAGAAGAGATATCACTAAGGGGCGACATGACAGAAGTTTTTAAAATTATGCATGGGGTGGACAGAGCTGACAGAGATAACCTTTTTCTACTTCTCCAAAAATATTAGAACTCAAGGGCATCCAATGAAGCCGATGGGCAGTAGATTCAGGACAGACAAAAGGAAATACTACTTTATGGGATGAGTGTTTATAATGTGGAATTAGCTGCCAGAAGATGTTGTGATGGCCACAGGCATAGGCAGCTTTGAAAGGGAATTAGACAGATTCATTAGAGGATAGGTTTATCAGTGGCTACTAGCCATGGTGACTAAAGAAAACCTCCATAATCAGAAGCAGTCAGCTGAGTCCCAGTGCCAGGAGGTAATATTGGTGAAGGCTTCAGCTTTTATGTCGTGTTGTTGGCCCTCTGGAAGAACTGGTTAGCCACTGTGAGACAGGATGCTGGACTAGATGGGCCACTGGTCTGCTCTACCAGGGGGTCTTCTTTCAATAATACTATGGCCTCACTAATGACTATAAATAATGGCTGACTAGTAAGTCAAGCTTGCTTGTAGGAAGCTATTTCAAAGGCTCAACATTTGTTCACTTTGTGAATGCATTCTAATAAGGAACACTTTCAAGTGGCTTCCAAGATTGAAGCCATTACAAAAGAAAATGTATTCTACAAGTAACAAAAAAATATTCACCCTACAAGTGCTATGCCAATTGTTCAAATAGAATATGCTTAACTTATGGATGTTTCTAGCTTCACATGGTTACCAAAGAGTTCTGCTAAATCTCTGCTAGCTTTCAGCTGCTTAGCTGCAATACGGTTGCTTGGAAACCTAACCCTTGTGGCTCCATCTCCCTGACAGGCATTTTATCTACTATCTACTACATATGACACACTGATATCTAGATATACATCTTTCTTCACTTGATATTCTCAGCAGAGAGGTGTTTGGGACAACTCATGGTTAGAATACTGCATGTGAAATGAAAAAAAGTCAGTGGAGCATTAAGTTTCTGTCAGAAATATTTTTAGACATTAAAGATAAAGCAAACCTTAAAGATAAAGTAGTTTTATTTGCTCTCTCTCAAAAACGATTTAGTTTACCTTAGCTTTTTAACACAAAATATTGGAAAAAACCCCTCCCGAAATAAGCATACAGTGAGCAGGCAGTGATTCAATTGCAATGTTCAATCCAATTTCTCCCCTTTTTTGTGTGGCCCAGTTTTATAGTGTCATGCTTTAAAGCAGTTAGCAAACATTTTTAGATAAAGGAGTATTATTTTCCTTGCCCGTGCAAAACCATATGCAGGCATGGATTCATAATATACATGCACTAATGGTAAGAAAAGCATTAGGAAACTGTATATAGTTTTGTTTTTTAAATGAATTGCCAGCTTCTTGGAAGAAGTCATCCTATTTAGTATCTTCAGCTAGCTGGTGAAGGCAGCTATTATTATTAATCAACTGGTTAAAATTGTAACAGATGCTTCCACTTGGTAAGGCTTACTGTTTTCCAAGGAGGCAGTAAGACCACACTACTGGCCAACCTTGTGATTTGCTGCTCTGTGTAGGAATGACAGTCAAATGTAACCAGGGGCATCTGGTTCATTTTATCTTGTAAAAATTAAAAAAAAAACACCCTTGTAACTGACAAAATGGATCGATGCCTCATGACTTCGCTTTTGGAATCATCCCACCTCAATGGAAAAAAATCCTTCTTGGATTTACATAACTATGGTTACTGCAATTTTTATGCGATTGCCTTGCCCCTTAAAACTTCCATCAGCTGTCTGCTTTTCAAAAAATGAAGTGTAAATCCAGTTCTGAATTCTTCTAACTTTGAATTTTTGGGTTGCATTTTGAGGGTTGCTATAATCCTAGCAGATCAAGGAATGCATTCTTTTGAAGATTATTTATTCCCTATCAAAGAGCTAACTTTCTTCTAACTAAAATATGTTGTCAAAAAGTGACATCATGCATTTGCAGTGCATGATTCTGTCAGTCTGAGGGTAAAATTATTTTCTTCCTTATATGTACTATACCGTCCAACACAGCATTTGCTGTGGTTATGTCTTTTATTTATGTATTTATTTTATTTTATTCAATTTATACCCCGCCCTCCCCGCTACGCGGGCTCAGGGCAGCTTACAGGAGGCATAAGCCAATATAAAACATATTTAAAACCATTTAAAATCACTACAATACAATAACATTAATTAACAAAGGTGCTCTAGATGTTTTAACATAGTGTTACAAGATGGCTCTGTTGCAACTGCTCTCCCTACTCAGCATCATCTGCTCCGGGAAACACTGATGTTCCCTCTTCCAGGGCCAGGTTAAGATGGAACAGTAGTGATGGTAGTGGTCTATAAGCAGTGGCATACCTAGCCTATTTGGCATCCAGGGCAGGCAATTTTTTTAAACATCCCCTCCTCTATTTATTTATTTATTTTTTTGCTATCAAGTCAAGGTTGACTTATGGTGACACCCTAGGGTTTTCAAGGCAAGAGACGTTCAAGGTGGTTTGCCATTGCCTGCCTCCATGTTGGCCTTGCTTAGCTTCGGAGATCTGATGAGATCATGTTAAGCTGGGGCTATCTAGGTCAGGGTCCCTCCTCAATATGACAAACTTATTTTCAGTAATCATCATGAAATAAAATTAATAATAATAATGGCCAGAAATTGGCCATTGCAGAAAATGAAAATTTTCTTTTATTTAACTTCATATAAATAATTATGCCAGTAAAAAAAATGAAATCAAATTCCAACACACTATTCCATCTCTTGACAACCCCAGCCCTCAGGGACGTCAAATTCGCCAAGACTAGGACCAGGGCCTTTTCGGTGGCGGCTCCTACCTGGTGGAATGAGCTCCCGGAGGAGATCCGTGCCCTGCGGGATCTTGCGCAGTTCCGCAGGGCCTGCAAGACAGAGCTCTTCCGCCAGGCTTTCGAGTAGGAGCCGCTGTCGCTACTGTTCCACCAATGCACCACCGCCGAAAATTAGCGGAGATACCATCAGGGTGCAAGTGGGCCCTGGGAAGAAGACTGGTTATCTGCCGCTTTGGAACTTACGTCATTGGTCCAGATCCACCCTATCAGAACCCACCTTGGAACTGGGAACATCAGAGCACCAGCACTTTGTAGTACTATTGTTATGTTTTTATCTTGTTTTTAATTGTTTTAATCATGGCTTTTGCCCCAATTGTTAGCCGCCCTGAGCCTTAGGGGAGGGTGGGATATAAATCAAATTATAAATAAATAAATAAATGTCAAGAGCCAGAGTGGTGTAGTAGTTAAAATGTCAGACTAGGATCTGGGAAATTCAGGTTCGAATCCCCACTTGTGCCATGGAAGCTTGCTGGGTGACCTTGGGCCAGTCACATTACTCTCAGCCTCGCCCTGACCTGGATATCCCCAAGACAGCCTAATTTCGTCAGATCCCAGAAGCTAAGCAGGGCCAACATGGAGGCAGGCAATGGAAAACCACCTCCAAACTTTTCTTTTGCCTTGAAAATCCTACAGGGTCAACCACTGATGGCAGGAAAAAACCAACAACAATCCAGCACACCACTCATGTTCTGAGCAGGCAGTTGGGAGGGCTTCTGTTCTCCATTTCGAAGCCCAAGAGCTGACCATCCCAAACATATACAAGGCATTTTTGAGAGCTAGGAGTCTGCCTAACACTAGCCAAAGCATCACATAATAGTGATTGCAAGCTTCACCAGACTGGATGTTAAGAAACACGCTGTCATGAACTGGGCTGGGTCAGGAGTCAGGTCCAGTCTGGGGATCATAGCCAGAACAGACAGAACAGGAGCCGAGTTGAGTGTCCAAGGGAATAGTCATCCAAAGCAGGAGGTCAGGAAGCCAGGAATCCAAGCAGGAGCGAGGTCAGGAAACAGGAACCAAGGGAGAGCACAAGGTCAACACGGATGCAACTTGTTGCTTCCACAGAGAGCCCAACCCTCAGCGGGAGCTATATGGGCCTCCTTTAGTGGTAGTGCAGCTCCTGTCAGTACTCAGGGCTCAGTGCCCACCTTCTCCACAAGCGTGTATCTTGGCAGCGGGTTGCTAAGTCCCTGCAGAGCCGCTTCCTCAGCTGAGCCACCTGTGGAGGTGAATCAGGCAGGCTTTCTGCTTGCACCTGCACCTTGTCGGCTGCTGCTGGACCATGTGCAGAGGTTGCTGGCTCGGGTGCCGACGGCGGCAAGCTGTCAACTCCTGAGGAGTCCGAGGGGCCGGATTCCAGCTCTAATGATGCTGGTGACTCCGGCTGCACTGCCAACTCAGGCAGGGGCCCGACACGGTCATCATTGCCCATGACACACACTACCCCCACAAGAAGGGGACCCATCCCCCACTGTTTCCAAAGGACTAAAGTCAAACCAAAGAATCTCTGCAGTAGAAAGTGAAAGTTGGGGGCATTTTTGCAAGCGCAGTGAACCAGTGCAATGTACAGAGTACCCAGCAGTGCCAGTGCCTTCTGTTCATAATATTAACAAAGGTTTGCCACTATACTATTCTTAAATGCATTCTGTCACCAAAAAGGATAGGGATGAGAAGGTCTTGAGACCAAGAAGTGAGAATAAGGGGAGAGCACAGGAAAAATTAGGTGAAGGGAGACAGAAATGAATGAGAAAAGTGTGGAAAAGAGAGAGAGTAAATAAGAGAGAGAGAGGTGGTTCTATCTTGCTGCAACACCCTAAGTACTACTATGCAAGATCTGGCTGAGCTGGGTGCAAGGAAAGGAAGAGAGAAAGGCTAGACTATTGGAGAAAATGACCTGCAGGCTGCCAATTACTGTAGCAGCTGGCTTGGTTGTTATTAAGTAAGTTTCCTTCAGTCTTGGAGAAAGGGAAGTCTAGCTGATCTAGAGTGCTTTTTGCTAGGCTCGGACTTCTCTGTACCCCTAGTGGCTGCAACCAGAACCGCACCTTTTTTAAAAAAGGAAAGACGTTTGGCTGGACACAGCATAATGCTGGCTTCAAGGGTCCTCCAGCTGACTTCCACAAGCCGTGCCCGGGTGGACCGCTCCCCCCTTGGTACACTACTGTCTATAAGCACTTACATATAGTAATGCTACACCTATAATGGGCTTTATTGTATCTGAATCTAGAATGCTGTATGAAGGTTCTCTTAATCCACTAAAGAAGGGATTCCCAACCTTTTTGAGCCTGTGGGCACCTTTGGAATTCTGACATAGGGAGGTGGGTGCAACCACAAAATGGCTGCCTCAAGAGGTGGAGCCAATCACAATATGTCAGGAAGTGAAGTTATCCTTAACACTCATAGTAACTCTAACAATTCAGGCAGAAGCTCTGTTTAATAGGGAACCTTTTAAAATGAACAAATTATTTTTAAAAAATTTCTGGTATACACACAGTATACCTTCAGTCATACAGTGAAGATCTTTGTACTGTGGTTGTAGCTGCTGCTGAAGCAACTTTTAAAAAACCTGCATGGCCAATCAGCTTTCCAATAGCCAGTCAGAAGCCCTGCTGGGCAAGAGCCCCACCCGGCCACACCCACTTTCCTAGAAACGCTTGGCGGGCATCAAGTAAGGGGTCAGCAGGCACTATGGTGTCCACAGACACCATGTTGGGGACCCCTGCTCCACAGGGTAATGGGTTGGCTCCTGTTGTAGAAGGGTGGCTCTCCAATGTCTGTGAGCTCATCCTCCTCAGCAGGCAGTTTTCCAGGATACATCCACAAATAGGAATGGCTTGTTGTGTGTGTGTGTGTGTGTGTGTGTGTGTGTGTGTGGGTGTTACAGAAGGAAGGTGGGGGCATCAAACATCCACTTTGCAAGCACAACTTAGCAGTTGAAAATCTATTTTAGAACTGTAAAGTTGAGGTGTGACCCCACTCTTAACTAAAATGTTTCAGTGGTACTTGTCACCTAAAAATTCACCAAAGGGAGTTAAGGCCAGTACCCAGAGCTGAATGCCACTAAAACAACTGACAAAAACCACTGGGATTTTAAATAAAATCCTATCATTTCGTTCCGTGTATTTCTGTGCTATCCCACAACACAGGCTCAAGAGGCAGTTTACAACATAATTATAATCACGATAGAACAATAAAACAAATAGCAGAGAAGCTGAAAAATGACAGGAGTAGAACACAGCTGCAATATAGTAATGAAACATAGCCCTAAGAGCATTTGCAGCAAAGTAAAATGAAGCTTAAAAGCCAGCAAAGCAACAATAACAATCAACTGCTGCTAGTCACCAAATGCCTGAATGATTAAGGAAGAAGAAGAAGAAGAAGAAGAAGAAGAAGAAGAAGAAGAAGAAGAAGAAGAAGAAGAAGAAGAAGAAGAAGAAGAAGAAGAAGAAGAAGAAGAAGAAGAAGA